GGGCTGTGTGGCCCCTGCTCCCCCCCTCAGTGTGGCCCCGTGGTACATCTCTCCAGTAATGAAGAATAAGAAGGAATCCGTTTCATTGAACTTTGTAGGCAGTTGGTGTGAACGGGGAGATTATAAGTCACGGATGGAGATAACGCCTCATGCCCCTCCCCCCACATGTCTCGGCTCCGTAACATACAATCTGTACACAACATACAAAGTGATTATTGTGCAGGAGGAGGAATCCCCGCTATGCGTGTCCTATGAAACACGTGATGATGACGGGAAGTGTAATTGTCACATTGTATCAGAGGAATCCGTTCATCATACACCAGCAGAGACGCAGGGAGGTCCTCTTCATATACCGCGTGTCCAGACGCAGGGAGGTCCTCCTCATATACCGCGTGTCCAGACACAGGGAGGTCCTCCTCATATACCGCGTGTTCAGACGCAGGGAGGTCCTCTTCATATACCGCGTGTTCAGACGCAGGGAGGTCCTCCTTTATTCCGCTTGTTGTGTTGTGTTGGGTGAGGCGTGTGTTGGACTGGTGAGCCGTGTGTTGTATGGAAGAGCCATGTGATGGGTCGGTGAGCCGTGTGATGGGTCGGTGAGCCGTGTGTTGGACTGGTGAGCCGTGTGATGGGCGGGTGAGCCGTGTGTTGTATGGAAGAGCCGTGTGATGTATGGAAGCGCCATGTGATGGGTCCGTGAGCCGTGTGATGTGCGTGTGAGCCATGTGATGTATGGAAGAGCCATGTGATGGGTCGGTGAGCCGTGTGTTGGACTGGTGAGCCGTGTACTAAGTCTTTTTGTATGCAGGTGTGACTCCACGCAAGGCCTGGTGCTCTTCCATGACGTGGTCCTGTACATCCCGTTGCTGCTCGCGCTCTTGGGGAGCCCCTTCCTGCTGAGGAGAGCCATTGTGAGAGGTAGGAGCCCCGGATGGGTCTGCCCCTCCCCCGGTCATGTCACATATTGTAGAGATGGCTGACTGTTTCTTCCTCTGGGTCCCCCAGTGCCCGCCGTCCTGAAGATGCATTGTGGGGTGTATACGAGTAGTGAACGGTTCCGGAAGCAGACCCTGTGTAGACGGCTCCTGGGGATCAGTGGGGTCTTCGTAGCTTGGTAAGTCCTCCCATGTGGAGGTCTCCCCACTCTTTTATATCCATGGAGGGGAAGATGTCATTTGTAGTTTTCTCTATGACGTTCCTTCAGCTGGTCACTGGGAGGAAGCCATTGGCCGGCCTCTGATGGACCACGTGGCCAGCCACAGGAAGTGATGTCACTGGCACCGTCTCCAGGAAGGAAACTTTGTAACAGATTCACAAAAATGTATTCACTTCAGAAGACTGAGAGACCGAGGGAGAGATCTGGGGGGATGGACATGAACTGGAAGCTCCTGAGGGTTAGAGAAGCTCATTCCAAGTAGCCCCGACCCTTCGCCCCGACGGTAGCCCCGACGGTAGCCCCGACCCTTCACCCGACGGTAGCCCCGACCCTTCACCC